ACTGAATAGGTGACAATGAAATACATAGTGGTTACTTACTCAATAGAGTGTTTATGGGTAAGATACATCAATATGTGCCCTTAATATTTTTATATAAAAAGAGGTCATCATTGAGATGTAAAATGAGATGGAGCCAGTTTGTTGGCAGAAGTGTTTTAATGCTGGGTGGATCTATCTCATAAGGAAAGTCTCTCTGAACAGGCTGTTACACTGCATCTAAAGGAACAACTTCAAAATCTCTACAAAAAATCAGTTATGAATATATTACAAGCCTCTTTACCTAATAAAACTGACAACTCTCTGGTGCCTCAGAAAAGCCCTTAAAACCTGTCATAGCAACTTTCAAGGCAGCCAATGCACTAATTATACAAAAGTACAACCATTCTTTACAGTTTAAAGCACATTTAATAATCCACACCCTTTCTGACCTACATTTAATCACAGACAGAAGTCACACCTACAACTCACTCTAGTTCTGTTCTTGAAGTGTCAAAGAGCTCAGCTGAAGTAGGTTATAAAAGTAGCTTTGAAGAAAACACACATTAAGCCAGAATAAGATAATCTAATTTCTATCACTATCATATGGCAGGGCTCAAGACTTCCTGACCCTGTATCTATTCAGACTGCCTGTTCAGATCACTGCAATAACAAACTAGATAAACACGAACAGGGCAGAAAGACACATTCTACAAAACAGCAAGGTTGCTAAACTAAATACAAAYGTTCCACCGCTTTTTCAAAATAAAGAACCTCAAATCTAGAACAGTTTGCATAACTTCTTGAAAATAATCATAGAATCCAATATGCACCAATTGTGTTCAAGGGTCAGAAGAGCCATGTGAAGCAGCAGGCTCTGTTCGTAGCTCAGGTGGCTTGAACTGAAGTTCAGCTGACAACGGTGTGCCCTCTGCCCTGTCCTCAGCCTAACTTTTACTGCACAGACTGATAATGGTCCTAACATTCCCCTGCTCTACTGTTTGTGTCTCCTGCTGGATACCTCATTTTATACTTAGTATTTCAACTCTTCAAATGCTCTAAAATACGAAAGGCAGGGAAGATGGGGAAAAAACCTAGAAGGCCTTGATTTTCATCATTGTTCTCAACCAGGTTACCTCACTTAGAACATTATATGAGGAGCTTTCCTGAGTTTTGCGGGATCTGGGTATCACCAACATCACTGCTTTAAATAAAAGCAATTAATTTTAGATGTAACAACAGAAACATAGACATAATAATTCTTAACAGAATTCAGCAACACATGATGTTAACAGAATGTACGGACATCAGACACATTAGGTGTATCTCTATAAATGCACCTGTATAAATGCAAAGTGTTTTTTAACATCTTAATCTAAATTCTGATTAACAGTGAGCTATGGACTACTTTAGAGAATTTGAAAAAACACTGCAATAGCTATATGCTTATAAAATCAGAAAGTGCATTAATAAACTCAGTTTACTATTTTGAGGGAGTGCATACTGTATCCTATCAATAAATGTATGGAATATTAGCCTGTAAAACCCATCATATGAAAAAGCAATGGTAGTTCTGAGGTAGAACTTCTAGAAAGATGTATTGGCTTATCTGATTATTAATATGAGCAGACACACAAATAACAAAGACAGGGGACAGAAGATCACTATAAACTGTGCAAGTAAATCAAGATCTTTGTGCATTAAGGCACAAAGGCTGGCACTTGGCGTTACAAAGAACAGAGATGAGTATTTAATCTTTTTTCCTTCTCTAGGTTGCTCTCTTTTCATATTTTCATTTCAACAGGCCTTTTTGCTCCCCATCTACAGTCTGATATAGTAGTTTAAAGATTAAATAAAACATTTATAAAATAAAATCCACATAGTTACATTAATTTACCATAATTTCTTAAGCAATCACTAGCTGCATTGTCACATCTCACTTAGGTGCTTTTCTTTTATCTGAGATTAAATGGTGGATAAAAAATAGGGCATGGAATTTCATTTCTATTTTGTTTCATTACCTTCTGTATCTCTTTATCTTCTCCATGTCTAACATTAAACATCAAAAGCAGGATCTTTTTTCATGCTACTGCTGTAGATTGTGCATCTAAAATTTCTGTCAGAACAGAATTCATTCACTCTCTCTCTCATGTACATTATCAACCTTCTTCCAACTAAAAGAAATGTAGAAACATCTTTTCAATAATGGACAAGCTGGAGAAATGGGCCAATGGGAATCTCATGAGGTTAAATGACCAAGGGCAAGATGCTGCATCTAGTTCAGGGCCATCCCCAGTATCAGCACAGGCTGGGGATGGACAGATCAGAGCAGCTTTGGGGAAAAGGACTTGGAGRTGCTGGTGGGTGAGAGGCTGGACATGACCCAGCCATGGGCACTCCCAGCCCAGAGAGCCAAAGGGATCCTGGGCTGCATCCAGAGCAGCGTGGGCAGCAGGGAGAGGGAGGGGATTGTGCCCCTCTGCTCTGCTCTGCTGAGACCCCACCTGCAGGGCTGCATCCACCCTGGGGTCCCAGCACGGGAAGGACAGGGAGCTGCTGGAGAGAGTCCAGAGAAGGCCATGAAAATGATCAGAGGGACTGAGCACCTCTCCTACGAAAACAGGCTGAGAGAGTTCAGGCTGTTCAGCCTGGRGAAGAGAAAGCTCCAAGGAGACCTTACAACACCTCCCAGTATCAAACGGGAGCCACAAGAAAGCCGGAAAAGGACTTTTACAAGCAAAAATGGCTTCAAACTAAGAGAGTAGGTTTAGATTAGATATTAGGAAGAAATTCTTTGCTTATAAGGTGGTGAGGCACTGGAACTGGCTGCCTAGAGAAGATCTGGATCTTCTGATGGCCCCATCCCTGGAAGTGCTCAAGGTCAGGTTGGATGGGGCCCTGTGCAACCTGTTCTAGTGAAAGGTGTCCATGCTCATGCAGGGGAGCTGTAACTWGATGTTTTGTAATGCCCCTTCCAACCCAAACCATTCTATGATTCTATTATGCCATAAGCAAATACTAGTATATCTATATATGCACATATACAATTATATTATACATTAATTTGACGTTGCCCCTAGAGAAAGCAGAGCTGTTCAATAAATAGCTCTGTTTTTCACATTGTTATTGTGAATATAAGTGCATTTAAAAAAAAATAGTGCCAGACTTTTGATCAGTCAGGCTGAACCTTATCTTTTAACAGCAGAAAAGGGTCATAGATAACATGACTGGCTGCAGTGTAACTGTAACTAAATAAATTGGTCCATTTCAGATGTTATTTCCTAGGAACACGACCCTAGCTTCAGAATTGCTCTCCTTTTTTACTACAGTTGTCTTGCTGTCCAATCTGAGACTGCACAGGGAAGACAATATCTGGGTTTGACGTCCCACCCTTAAGAGGAAGGGAACACCCAAGGGTTGCTGTCACCAGATCAACTCAGGCAGCCTGATTTTGGCCACTGTCTCTCTTACAAAGCTCTTCTAGCAGGGCTGCAGTCCAAATAGATTCTGATGGTAGCAACAGCTGCAGCAGCCTTCTCACTATCATTCATTTAGCAACTCTTCTTTCAATSCCCTAGACTTATCTTGAAGAAGAAAAACAGTCTCAGAGATACAGGGCTTGGTAATTCAACTCAGAGTTCTGATCCCAAAGAGAGTCACAGGGAATGAGCTGAGGGATAAAGTCTTGGTGGGTCCCCAGCAGTCCATTAGACCATGCTGAGCAGTCTTTTTTAATGGAAATCAAGACTTTTTGTCTGAATATTTAAAAAATAATGGAATAAATATTCCCCCTTGTTAACTACAAGAAACTGAAATGATTTCATTTTTTCATACTGCAATAAATTAGATTTTAGACTATTTCTTTTTAAAAAAGTAAGAAAGATAGAAACAAAGTGCTCACTAATCTCAGATATCTCTGATTTTACTCAAAGTGTTGTTCTTAAAAGGCCTTTAATTTGTAACTCCCACTTTATACAAGGACTTGTAAATGCAAAGTATCCTCATGGAACATATACTTTCTGTTGTAACATATATTTCTAGCAGTGATAACAGCTGTTCCAGTTCTTCTCAGTCCACTTATTTGTTTTCATCTCAACAATTTATTTCAAGCATAAAACTGTACCATCACAGTGGTACAAGGTTCTTCTAAATAATTATTTTAAAAATAGAGAGGACGAGAAATCCATTTTGTAACAAGCTCAAGAGAACACAACAGTGATTGTAAACATTAAAAAGCATTTTAAATGTACTTCTAGGTCAAATATTGTATTTCCACCAATAGATGTCACTCTTACCCAAACCTGTCTTAGTGTTTCTTTGCAAACTGTTTTATGCAATCTAGTCTTTAAAGCAATTTCTTTCAACCATTGAATCCTTTCCATGTCTCTTTCCTCTTCTTCTATGTTTTGTTCTCCTCTCCCTCCAATTTGAAAAATACTGCCAAAACATGTCTCTGTAGGCTGCTTACTGCTCACCCTGGGACTAAGTATTTCCAGCTACATTAAGCTGGCCCAGTGTCTGACACTGTGATTAACTCAGGTCGCCCTGTGAAGCTTCTGTGTTTTACACGCCAGGAAGTTTAGAAACTTGTCCTGTCAAATCCATGGCCAGTCTGACTCCAGGGGCAGTTCAGCTTCTCCGAAATTCTGAGAAGCAGCAGCACAGCTCTCAGTGCTCGGGTAGTGCACACGCACGTGAGCACACACACACCTTGCTCCTGAAATGCATTTCCAGGAAACAACTAATTTAAACTAAACGCCCATCAAGATTWTAGAAATGGCACATCATGTATCTTAATCTATTTATATGATAYCAAAAATTTTCTGTATGTGTTGCTCTCAGCTGCACAAAGACATATGGACTCACAGACCATCTGGAAAACTGTATCCCATCCAAAAAGTTCGCAGTTTGTCAGATATTTTGGAACATGGTTTTAGATAGACCCAATACACATACCAAAAATGTAATTGTATATAATAAATRCTTTTTGAAATCCAGTATAGTATGAACATAGTCCTACTCACATTCAGTTCCAGGCTCAGATGCAACACACTTCTGTTGCTCTTCTCTTTCTCACTCGAATGAGGAAATGCATTTGAGTGCCCCAGTCTGCAATCCAGAACCCACGTATCTTCATCTCTGTTTGCCACATCCAAATTAGTCAGCCGTTCAGTGAAGTCATCCTTTAAAGCAGACTCTGCTGGAAGGCCCAAGTGACATGGAATTAAATTAAATTAATTCTAAATTAATTCTATGCCTCTGCACATAATCCCTGCATACAGAAAGTTATATATTTTTTTGAAACTCTGGTACACACTACCAACATGTGYTCTTACAGTCCTCCTGTCTGTTTAAAACAAAACAGAATGGCATGAAGGGCATACWGACTTTGCTTTCATTCAGAAAAATAATTTTGCCCTTAAATTTTGTGGGTTATATCTAGCTTAAAAAAAAAAAAAAGGGGCTGCTTGACTTTTCCCCRTACACAGACACAGACTGTGAGTAAGATGCTTGAGTTTTCACCTCTGCCAAGGCTCTCTTACTGGTCATCCTAAATGTGCTCATTACACATTACACAGTTCCAGGTGAGTGGAGAGGAAACAGTAAAGATCACAATTTTCAAGGTAATTGGATATTATTTGTATCATGTTAGCAAACCTATTGTGACAGGTTTTGGTGCTTCTCCTGATTTCTGTCACAGAGCAGTACTACAGTTTTTGTGGGATCTACTGACTTTTCATCACAAAAAAATTGGAATCCTGTCATATAAGCTATAAAAACCATACATGCTTTCAAAAATTGAAACAGCATTAAAATGCAAATGCACATAGTAAAAACCAGGAAATACTACCATTTTTAATTCAGTGCGCTTTGGGAATTCATTGTATYATTGTAATTAAGAATTCACTGGTTGCCCATCCTGCTCAGCATTACCTGCAATATTTCAATACTTGATTACAATTTGTAGTTTGTAATTTTTATTGATTATTTTTATCTTTTCTTCAAGGTGTCTGTTCCATGTCAGCTACTGCTAAAGAGAAAATTCCTTTGCATGCATTTTTATCCATGATATGCTTACTCTAATAAATTTCCWTTGCTTGAGTAAGAGATACAGAGCTGTAGCAAGAGGCCACAGTCAGAATTCCTTCTTGCAGCAGCTGGTATTTCCCATAATTAACTGTGGCCCAGCTAAGAACAGTCAGCCTGCAAACGCTTTCTGGGCCTCTAGAAAAATTAACACCTCCCTCAGCTGCAGAAATTCAGTTTTTGTCCAAATTTAGTTTTGTGCACCATTGTATTAATTTATGGTTTGTTTTTTTTTCTGTTGGCAGACTCCTCCCAAGTCCCAAGCCTCTCTTCTCCACCCTCGATGCAATTATTATTTAAAGTTCTGTTATCTGTGCATTTATCCTGGCAGTTGATGACCACCTTCCTCCCTGACCCAGTTCTCACCTGCACACACCATTAGAACACAACCACTTCTCTGGGAAGTGGCACATCCAACCCAGCAGACAATGGAATATGAAACAAGGATTTTACCCATCTCTCTAAGTATTCTATTTTAAGCTAATTCTTACATGTTTGGTCATGTTTTTCCCTGAAGTTCACTTCTCTGTCAGCTCCAACAGATGGATTTTACTGCCACTTACACTTATCCAGGGATTTTTTTTTTTTAAATTGGCAATGCACTGTAATTTGATGGTGTGTTTAAAAAACAAGGTCATATATATTTTACGCATGCATATGCAAACATGTGTATATCATTGAATCACAGGCTAAACTTAGGAAGTTTTAAAATGCATATGTTTATTCTTTAGCCCATTTAACTGATTTAGACATGTTTTTTTCCCCTCTGAAAAAGAAGGCTTTYGAGAAAGTCCAATTGCTACTCAAACTGTCTTCCAGGTTTTACAGTTTATACCACTTAGGAGTGCCTCCTGTGAGCGCTGTATGTACAAAGAAGACTGCCCAAATACAGATCTGCTGCCATCTATTGTCTCAAGGGAATGGAAGACAGAGCAATGTAAATTACAGGAAGACTCAATATTTAATGCTTCTTTGGCAATTTTTACCATGCAGACTTTGTGAGTGTAAGGAAACAAATTTTTCATGTTGTCACAGATAAGACAAATAAGGCACTCAAACCTCAGGAGTACAGACAGGGTCACATCATCAAACTGTGACAGTAAATAGTAYATCCAGGATCTCCTAAACCCTCTAGTCCTATACTGAACACACATAATTATAAAGTAATTACATCTGACTTTTCTGGTACAAATTACCACTCTTGTCATACAAAGTCTTTTAAACACAAATTCTTAAATTAGCAATCAGGCATGTTAGATATCATGTAATACATTTCTGTTAAGCCACCATTTTGGCATATGCAGTTCTACAGTTTCTGTGGAACAAGGTGTATTTTCTCTGGGAAGTCTCTGTACAGAAAACCTGTTTATGCTTTCTCAGCTGTCTGGGAAAAAGAACTTGGGGAAAAATCAGCTTCTTACAGATTTTTTTTTTTTTTTGCTAGTTCAAGGAATTAGGATGTCATGCCATCCATTTCCTTGGGGACATGGTTTGCTTGACCACAACACACTTAACACTAAAGTCAATGTTTATACTGATTGCTTTTAGCTATGTTTCCTGACCACTGATCATTCTACATATTAGGATTTTAATCACACTTCATTCTTTCTAAATTGCTTTATTATACCACATAGCATAAAAACAGAATGCTTACTCTTTTTGTATGTTGATTGCTATGTAATGTACAATTCTTGTGCTTAGTTGATTGAATATTATAAACACCCTTATATGCAAGAATAAAGAAGTGTGTTAATCAGATACTTGGTTCACTCCTTGCCTCTTGGAACAAGTGAAAAGAAGGCAAATAAAATTGAAATCTTTGTAGGCCATCTGAGAATTAATCTCAAAATACCAATTTTTTGAACCTTTAAAGTTTTGGGGGTCTTAAATTTTAGAAAAAAAAATTAAAACAAAATAGATAACCAAGTAGGTTTTTTTCAGCAAGTGAACCACAAACCTGAAACAGTGTAACAGCAAAAGTTGCTTATTTAAAGGCATCATTTTGACAGTGGAGATGAACACTCTAAACATCAGAACTACATTTAGAGTTTTACAGTATTACTAATATAAGAGAATGTTATTACTGTAGGGATTTAGCTCTTGMAAGATCTTAAGCAAATCACAGCATTTTAAACTTCTCTGAACTTCCTTATAAACTTGGTATATTTCCTTGTTCGAGCAGATGAGGCTTGACCAATGTTATTGAAAGCACTGGTGAAGACCAATATCTTTTTGCAGGATGACAAACTGTGGATGTAAAAAGCAAATGTTAGGCCTGCTACTTGCTRTGTTGCTCTAACAAAGGAGCCTGAATGGCACAGAACTTAAATAAAATCCCTCAAAGTGGTGAGTGTGGGAGCAAAGCCCTGGAATAGCYACACCCTGCAGTGGCAGTAAAGATCTTTGTAATGCTCAAAGAGCTAGATGCTCCTAAAGTACCAATAYCCAAAAAAATAAACAATTAATTGTCTTTTCTCCTCCTGGCAAAGAGTAAATACATAGCACTGCTAATAATGGAGAAAAAAGTGAAAGTGGCTTCAAATCCACCCAAGTACTACCAGAGAAATCTATTGCCAAGTAAAATTAAGACCCCCTCCCTCCCTTGCTAGCAAATAAAAATTGGTATGTTATTTTGAAGCATGAACTTGAAGAAGAGCATCTTGCTGCAGGAGATGATAAACYGTATGTAGCTTGACATGAACTTCTAACATTAAAAAAAATGAAAACTTAGCTAAGCAACCATCAAACATAGGGTTGTGAAGGAAATCCAAAATATTTACTTTCTTGTAAAAAACGTTTGTGCAACTTCTCAATGCAGTGTATCAACTGCAAAAGCACATGATACGACTCAAAGCTTTTCAAAACTACTTCAGAATTGTTACAAACCTAAGATTAGCAATATCTGTCAAAWGCTATGAATTTCTTACATAAATTTAAATGGTCTGTATTAAAATAACTTTTCATTTAGTCTGTTGACACTAAATGTGATTTATGTATTTTTTATTTATTAAGCGTTTACAGTTACAGTAATTTATATACTTCATACTGGTTTTTTTCCTTCACCTCAATCTATTCATTCTAGACAAAAATCCCTAAGAGAGCAAAACCTAATCGATAAAAGTGTAAAAGAACTAGTACGATTTAGATTAGGAAAAAAACACCCCAATAAACAAAACCAAAACAAAACAAAGAAAGCGCAAGATCATCAACAGAAAGATGAGAGAACATATTCCAGATTCAATGCTGTATCATCCAACATGTGCTTGGGAAACCCGAGGAACTTTAATAASAAGTACAGCATGTATTTTCTGAATTACGATACAGACCTGCAAGCTACTGAGCAGTTTGGCCCCACACAAGCCTACTGCTTTAGCACATACTCAAATTTAATTTAGTTACATAGGGCAAATAACAAGCAGGACCTGCCTTGTCACTTTTCAGGCCCATCTTGCTTTCAGGTGCAAGCAAGATGCTCTCCAAGTGCTCACAATTGGCACTGTAAGCAATGAGCCAAAGATACCAAAACCCCAGAAGTATTTAAAACAGGAAGCAACTGGCACTTCAGTATAAATTCTGAATTTTTTACTAYTCCCAAATAAGCTTCGCATATCCAGTTAAATGCCGCAATCAATGTTCAGGCCAAAGTTCTGAGCTGCAATGCCAGAAACTTTTAGTGAAAGGCTCATTTTTAATGCCAAAGAATTTCACTACTCACAGCAACTTCCAAATAGGGGTAAYACCCAAAGTAATCTAGTTAAATATCCAATCAGCATGTGTTAATTATACAACATTTCCCAAGTTAGCCATTTGTGGACATAAAAAAAAACCTAAATATTACAGAAAATTTTGAAATACCTGACAATTCACATGTTTTTCTTATTAAGCATGTGCTAAATGTCTTGTGGGGCACTAAAATAGATAATGACAATTTTCCAGAAACAGTTTACAACTGTTTACAATTTCATTATCTGAAGTAATTTCTATGCAATCATAGCACATACCATATTTGTTATAGATTACACTCAAAGCAACTACCAAAAATGGAAGTGTTCCTAAAACTGTAATTGTTATTATGGGGAGTGTTTCACTGCAACTTTTTACAGTCAGTTTTCTGATCTGCGGCATTAGCAA